CGGCGGGTGGCCCACCCACCGCGCGGGTCACCCGAAATCCTGTCGGTCACCGTTGGGGGGGGGGGGGCTTATGTGGGTTACCATACCAGGCCGACATGGCGACGTTTAGGTTAAAGGCAATCCATGGCTCTTCAAGCGCACGTGCCGCGGCCCGCGCGCGCGGTGAGTTTTGTATTTCTTACATTCAAAAAATAGCCATGCTGGCCTGGAAACTAAAGTGAACTCCTAACGGCGACCGATTGGATTTCCCAGATAAAATTGTTTTTTTCCTCTGGTGGACAGTGCAACACTCTCCGCGCGCGGCCGCGCGCGCGCGAGGTGGGTTTTCTATCGTCCACAATCGGAAAGTCGCCACGTTGGCTTAGAAGCGACTGGGAACCTTCTAGCGGTGACCGATTGGATTTTGACGTTGCCATGGGTTCTATTGTATGGTTTCTACGAGATGCCCATCGCAAAACTGATCCATTGTGGACAGTGCGGAACTCACAACGCGCGCGCACACGCGGCGGACGACCCACCCGCCGCGCGGGTCACCCGAAATCCTGTCGGCCACCGTGAAGGGCGCACTTACGTTTCCAGGCCGTCACGGCGACTTTTCGAGCGTGGGCAATGCACAGCTCTTCAAGAGCGCGCGCGTGGTGAGTTATGGATTTGTCCAGAATTGAACATTCTGCACGGTGACCGATGACATTTCCAAACTAACGTGGCGACTTGCCGGTTGTGGACAAGGCAAAGCTCACCACGCGCGCACCGATTGGAGTTTGAAGTTAACATGGGTGCTGCTCCATGGTCCAAGACGTGTAGAAGTGTTGTCGATATTCATTGCTCTCACGGCTGTCAAGCCTTGACAAGGGCTGTCAAGAGCTCTAACGAGCAAGTTCATCAAACATTCGCAACGGCCGTCAAGGCTCTGTCAACGGCTGTCAGGGGCGTGTCAATGCTGTCAAGGGTTGTCAAGGCTGCCGATGGCGGTTTATTGGTTGTCAAGGCTTGTCAAGAGCTGTCACGAGCTCTCAGGCTGCAATCAATGTGCGCCATTGCGTATCAACACGGAATAAGCATGTCCGTGGAAAAATGGTAATATTGAACATCGTGACCATGAAAGATGAAGCAACACGTCAAAGTATCAGAATAAAGCATTACCATCGAGCTGTCATGGGGAGAAAATGACTTGAGGAGATCTGGGCCAGCTGCTCAAAGCGGGCCTGGCATCGCGGCAACAGCCAAGGAAGAGAAACAACAACAGCAGAAAGAAGAGCAGAGAACACCCTCGGTTTTTAAGTTTTGCGCCTGGCCCCCAAGGATCGAAGAGGGAGGTTTCCGAACGTTTTCTCTAATGTTCGGCCCTCTTCGGTCTTCCGGAGGCCTCCAGAGACTTCGGGGAAAATCCAAACACCCGGGGCGGGAGCAAAACATACCACCCTCGGCCAGCCTTGTCCTCCTCTCTCCTCCTTTTCCTCCTCATGATCCTCTTTTTCTTTTTCTTACTCTTCATCCTCCTCCCCCTCCTCCTCATCCCTCTCAGCGCTCCAATATGGCCCCAAAAGCTCAGATGATAGCGTTGTCAAAATTGAAGTCTTGTCATCACGAGCTTTCCTGTCGCCAGGAGCTCCAGGAATGCGCTCAAGAAGATTCAGCCGAGGCCCAAGATGGTCCCAAGGGGGGCCCCAAAAGGAGTAGCCCAAGAGAGGCTCAGCAGAGGCCCAAGATAGTCCCAATGGGGTCCCAAAACGCTCCATGGGGCTCCCAGGGGCGCGGAGGCTCGCCCGCACTGTCAAAGGCAAGGTTCTGACAGCTCACGACGACGACGACGACGACGACGACGACGACGACGACGGCGACGGCGACGGCGACGGCGACGGCGACGGCGACGGCGACGGCGACGACGACGACGGAGAAGCAGTCAGCGCACCTTGCGGACGTGCAGCGGGTTTCACGCTGGGCAAACACGTCCTCAGAAACGCTGGGCAAAAAGGTCCTAATCATGAGCACTTGGCAGAAATATGTGATGCAAACTATCGCGTTTCTCTTGACCCCCTTTGTGCACAGAGAGGCCCCGGGCAAAAATCTCGGCAAGTTTCCCAAAAGCATGCGATACCGGATGGGCCGGCACACCCACGCAGCAGCAACCAGCAGCCAATTTGAGGTAGCATCCGCGCGGCGGCGGACGCGGGAAACAGCGCAGCACGATTGTGAGGCAGAAGAAGCAAAGTGTTCCGCGGCTGCGAATTAGAAGTACGAAGCGCATAACGACCGCGAAGTAGGAAAATCGAAGCAAGCCGAGAAACGATGCAGGAAGAGCCAACCCCGGGGGTGGGAAAGGGAGGGGAAGAAAGCCTCGAGCCTCCATTTCACCCCGCGCAGTGACGAAGCGCATTGGAAGCGCATTCGGTTCAGCGCCGAGAAGCCCCTCCCCAATCTCGGGGGAGCGTAAGACCCGGGTTTGCCGGGACTCGGGTTCGCCATCGTTTTTTGACGACCGCGCCTCGGATTTTGACGAGGAGGAGTTTCGTGGGATGTCTGCAGCGGGAGGCCTCGTCAAAATGCAGGCTCGGCCTCGTCATTTTTTTTGACGACCTCGTCGGGGATTTCCGAGTCCCCCGTACCCGGGTCTTACGTCTCCCCGACAATCCTCAACTCCGAGGCTCCGCCCGACAAGGGATTTTCATGCGTGCCGCGCGCTGCTCTCCGCGCCCGGCGCCAGGGGCGGACGCCGCGCCCCAAGTGTTGCCAGCCACGCCCAGTCCACAGATAGAGGGGGAAGTGTTGCGACGTGCGGCGGCAGGGAGCCTCCTCCTCCTCCTCCTCCTCCTCCTCCTCCTCCTCCTCCATCGCCCCGCCCCCCCCCCCCACCTCCGATTGAGTTGTGTGCTGCCACCGAGGAAGTGTGGTTGAATCCCGATATTCCTCCTCCTCCTCTTCCTCCTCCTCCTCCTCCTCTTTCTCTTCTTCCTCCTCCTCCTCCTCCCCCTCCTCCTCCTCTTGCTCCTCCTCCCCCTCCTTCTCCTCCTCCTCCCCGAAAAGGGACGAGAAGGGGGGCGGAAGAGGAGACGCGCTGAGCCACCTGAGCCCAGAGGGTCGGCGGGATTGTTCGGGGGGCGGGGGATGCCATCATCACGCGGCTACAGCCGGCACCTTGAGTCAGAAGTCGGCCTGCCAAAGAGTGCCCCACGAGAGCGTCGTATCTCCGGAGTGGGCCGCAGAGCCCTTGGGCACCGCACGAAGCTCAGAGTCGACGAGGGATGTGCCCCCGGATTCCTTTTTGGCAAGACGTCTTCCCGCATGTGCCTACCGTAAGCCCGCCTGTGCTGCGATCTCCTACAGTCCACCCGCATGGTAAGTATGGGCAATTTTCCCAAGGGTACCCTTGTATCATTACCCCTTCGGCCCATCCTTGCCTTCGGCCCATCCTTGGCGACTTTCATTGGCCTGCCTCGTTCGAAAAACGCCAATTTGGGCCTCCAAGGCCTTGCATCCTTACCGCGCATCCTTATGATACGGGCTGACTGTAATTCATCCTGGAAGAGTGGAGTCTCGTGATTGCCCCTGCCCGCGCATGCCAGCGCCACGGGCGCCACCCCCTCCCCAAGAGGAACGGCAGACGAGCCAGCCGCGGCCGCGCCGATGAGTTCGGAGCCCGCGGCGCTGGCGCCTGCGCTGCCGAGCTTCGGTTCGCAGGAGGCCGCAGCAGGGGACTCCCCCAGCCTCCCTTGCCTCCCTCTCGAAGAAAAGTAAGAAGAAAACACCACATAAACATAACCCATTATTCTTCGTGGTCATCGTCGTCTTGCACACTACATTATCGAGAACGCTTCTTGGAAAGGCCGCGGGCATGCGGGCCTGGAGCTCATTCGTCTCGGCGATCTCCCCTAGACTGGGGGGATGTCTCGTTCGGCCAGAGTTCCAGGTCAGCTGGGCTCAGCGAGCCACTGAAGGCAGTGCCCGAAAGCTTTTCAGAAAAGGAGCGTCGATAGCAGTCCGGAAAGACATGCACAGGTCGGCGGTAGCGGGGCAATGGGCATTGTTGGAGCCCCTGGTGGGCCGTCGGACATGCTGCCTGGTCAGCCCGTGGTGTTCAGCGATCCTCGGTGTTGCAGGGAGGACTGTGACGTTGTCTTGGGGATTGTTAGAGCTTGCTCTCTGGCAGCTTGTTAGAGCTTGCTCTCTGGCAGCCAGCAACGTACACTCTCTACCCTTCGCCAGCAGAGTTTCTCACGCCAGCGGGCGCTCCTAATTCGACGATTTCTGCATGTCCTTCCTGGGGGACGAGTGCGCAGCCAACCTCTGAAGATCTGAACCCTTCGGCGCGTGGAGGCCGCACAGGCCGTGCAGTTGCGTTGTCACAGCTCGCCACGGGGAGACCCCGAAAGGGGGAGGGTATATCTGCTAGGGTATATTTGCTCCCCTTGCTCCCAGCTCCCAACCCTGTCCCGCGGGTTTCGGGTCGGAAGGCAGATGAAGAGAAACAAGTTGACCGTGGTAAGAAATGAGAAACGTGCGTGCGCGTACATTTTGGAATCGGAGTGGAGGGGGGGGGGATTCCATCAGAGACGTCCTGGAGACTTCGTCGTTTAGAGGCCACGGAGCGACGACCCGTTCGCTTCTCGCACATAGGCTCCCTACTTGTAGAGAAGGCCTTGTGATTGTCTTCACCTTGAAATGCGAACCGCCCAGTATAATTCAATGCGTCATGAGATCCGAGCGTGACCATGTGCCAGGAGGTCATATGACTGCGTTCTGAGTCGTGTTCGCAACAGTCTCAGGGCAACACGCGATTCACGATGTGGCAATGTTGGACACCTGTCTAGACGTAGTGGGAGAAATCGCGAACATGTCGCACGCGCAACGCATTGGCCATCCGCAGCCGTCTAAGGTTCCACATTGCATTAGGCTCAGCTCACTACTGCATCCGGAGAATCCCCCCTCCGTGAAGTCTGCTTCGCCTCCGCACACCGGACGTTGGGGTGCTCAGCGCATTTCTCCCCTCGATCGAACAAGCCATGTTCGGCGCGTGTGTGACCCGCATCCCGTCCATCGGCGAACTGCACCTGCGTGGCGACATGCGCAGCCTCTCCGTCGTGGCCGCGGCGACGGTGTGCTCGTTCCTGCCGCTCTCAGCCTCGCACATGATCTCATTGATGATCGGCGCTCCGGGGAAGAGAAGTCTCGACCAAACCAAGCAGGCCACACTTTTGTTCCTGCCCCCTTGCGCACGGTTGGAGCATAGCCAATCCCAGATGCTCATTGTTTTTCCTCCTCCTCCTCCTCCTCCTCCTCCTCCTCCTCCTCCTCCTCCTATTGGTCCGGCTGGGGCCTTCCCACGACCTCAGGCGTGGCGCTGTTCATGTTGGCGCAGGCCTTGCAGCCCAGCGTGGACCGCGCTCCCAAGCTTGCGCCGAAGCCTGGCCGACTGGAAGCCCAGAGGACGCCCAAGGCAGGGCACGGGGGCAAGGGAGGGGGGACCGACGGGGAGGGAGAAGGAGCGGGGGTGAGGCACAGCAGGGAGGGGCCGGGCGGAGGTGGCAAGGGGGGAGGAGACGGGGGGAGGGGGTGGCGGGGGGGCGGGGGGGCGAGTCTTCCGTGCTCCTCCCCAAGTGGGAGTGGGCCCTGGCCCTGGACCGAGGAGCTCGCGCGTGGGCTCGAGAGGCCGCCCCCCTTGCCCTGGGCTGGTGCGGGTTATCCTGCGGCGTTTCCAGCCGAGGGTTCTCCAGTCGAGGGTTCTCCTGCGGGTTCCTTGCCCTGGGCCGATGAGGGCTCTCCTGTGGTTTCCTTCCGAGGGTTATCCTGTGGGGGGCTATCCTGCGGTCTCCTTGCCCTGGACTGATGAGGGTTCTCCGCATGCGGGTCATCCTGCTGCGAACGCCTTCTTCGAATGACTGCCATCTCCGACGACGCAGGCAGAGACGCAAGCAGTACTGAGCGGCGTCGGTGCGCGGCTCGGGGCGAGGGAAGAGTGATTGGCGGCGAGGGGGCGGAGGAGTAATCAGGCGTGCTGGGCATCGCCAGACGTCACATACTGTCTCCCAGCTTCAGCCCCCCTCGGCCCCGCTCGGTGACCTCCCTATCGGATTGCCTGCCCTTGTTCTTCCGGTCGGCCTGCAAGGGAAAGCCCGACGGCAGCCCCAAGTCTCAGCTGCGCAAGCCCAACGGACGGCAGCGCCACCAGGACCCCCCGAAGGCGGCGGACAAGGCGGACCCGCCGCAGAAGGCCGGCGGGTCGTATGTGCCCAACGAGTGTTGACTTGGCATCGCTCGGACGTGTGGATTTTTCCTCCGGCGAGAACCATCGAGGAGCATCCTTGATCATTTGGCGAAAAAGCCACGCACGAAACCGACAAAAAACAAAGGGAATGGACGTCCGAGCGATGCCCAGTTGACTATCCCAGATGGGGGTGAAGCAGATGGGGTCGGTGGATCGCACCGCCTCGCCGAAGCGTCGGCGGCGCGGCGCGATCCTCCGACCCCATCTGCTCGGACCCCGTGTGGGCGGCCTCCATGTCGGAACCCGGTCCTCCGCTGGGAGGTCCCAAGGCAATGCAATGCCAGAGGTGCGAGGCGTTGGCCAGGATGGTGGCTCTTGGTGTGTCGTCGTTCTGGGCGAGGTGGCGCGGGCGGACCTTAAGGATCCCCAGGGAGGATGGTTCAAGGGGGCTGGGGAGTGCTCCCCCAAGGGAGCCACCCACGCATACTGGAACCAGACCCTCCTGGCCCACCCCTCGCACGTCGTGCCCAACCGACGGCCCCATCAGGCGCGAACACGTGTCAGGTCCCGCCCAGTTCGGCGCTCCCCTCACGAACGTCGTGCCCTACGGGAAGCCCCCAGCCACGGCCCCAGCAGGCACGGACGCAAAGTGGATCCTGCCTGCTTCCGCGAACACTTCACGCGTTTCGTGCTTTGCTTGGCATTCCACATACTTCGATCGGTGGAAGGGTTACAGAGGGAATAGAAGGGTTACAAATCGATGCCAAGGACCTGACATAGAAGTGGGTCACAGATGCTCAAAGTGGCTTATGGGGGGTTGGACAACTCTGCTGACTGAGCGGAGCCCACTTAGCCCGGATCCCTAACCCTCTAAGCCACTTGGGGCAGGTGTAACTCACTTGTTGGCTAGGTTGGGCCAGGTATAACCCACCTGGGCATCCACGGATAGCCCCTCTAAGCCTCAGCAGCCCCCGCGCCGATCCCAGCAAGCCCGTCTGGTGCACCGTCTGGTGCAAGGCTCTACCTGACCTGACCTGACATTATCAGCTGGGTTAGGCCAGATGTACACCACCGTTGCATCCATGGACAGCCTCCCCATACACTTCGCCACCCCCGCGCCGATTCCAGTACGGTCCCAGCGGGCATAGACGCACGCTAGGGCCAGACCGCCCTGGGGCACCGCTCACGCGCGACGTGCTCCACGGGGCTGCCTCAGCCGCAGCCCTGGTCCCAGACGTGCTCACGTCGGGAAATATATCTGAGATCCTGGCGCTGCGGCTTTTCACCACGGGCGGTTTCGCCCGGTTCTGGGCCCCGGGGACCCTCACAGGTCGATGTGGTTTAAAAAAAACGGCGCAGAAACATGGGGTCTGGGGCTCCGGGCGTGATCTTTCGCGATGCTGCATTTTTTGTGCGCAACGTCGGACCTCATGGAAAATCACGACGGATATGTCTGGGCCGTCCTCGGCCTCTGGGAGCCCTCGCGGGGCCCCAGGGATGACAACAAAAGGCGGCGGCTCGAGAGGAAAATTGACGGCCTTGGGGACAGGATTGGGACGTGCAGGGATCCCGCATTTAGAGAAAAAGTCTAGACATCGCATGCTTGGGGTGGGCGCAGACGTTCACAGCCAGGAGCTTTGGCTCAGCATGTCGCTCCGCCAGTTCTGGCCCACCACTCTTCGGCGCGACACGCTATCCACATCCCCGTCCCCGAGCGTCAACGTCCCGAGCCTTTCCCAGCTTCCCGTCCTGCGAAGCGGAGCGACACGCAGTCCGCGTGCAAGGCACAGCGTGTCGCAGGGGCCGCCACCGCGACTCGCTGTCCAAAAGTTCCTGACCGTGCTATGGCCCCGCCTGGCTCGGCGCACCCCCAGCGCACGTGTCACCACCACCACAGAGACGAGCATCCCGAGGGACGCGTGTGCAGAAGAGTGCGCGCTTGACAGCTCTCCAAACATGAAACAGACGGATAGCGGGCACCCAGAGTCACGACTGTGAAGCAGAAGCCTCACAAGGAAGAAGAGGAGGCAAGGAGGAGGAAGAGGAGGAGGAGAAGGAGGGGAGTAGGAGGAGGAGGAGGGCGAGCCCACGGGGCACCGCAGGTACCCATGCTGAGACAGCTTGTACACTTGACTCGCCCACTGCTAGCGGGGGCGGCCCCTTTTCCGACGCCTGGCCCAAATTTCGGGAGTGCCGTCGCCATTGCAGACGGCTGTTCTTACGAGCAACGGAAACAAAGAGATCTTGATGTGGTTGTACAAAGCTGTTTGCCTACTCTGCAGCATCTGCGATTATGGTTGAACGGATGCTCTTCGCAGCACCTCTGCGTTGCTGACGCGGGGGGAAAAAGGAGCAGAAATCCCCAGCGGGCGATCCAGCCTCGCACGGTCTGCCGCCAGAAGCCAAACAGAGTCTAAGGAATACGAGCTCGCTCGGAACGCAACTGTCGTAATTATATTATGTGCGTTCGCTTCTTGCCAGTAGGCGTCCGCGTCCACATCCGGTGTAGCTGCTTGAACGTATGGTGAGTTCCGCCGAGCCTCCTGTTCAGTTCGGTAGACACCCTCCCATCGCACGAAATAAGCCCGCCCAAACAAATAGCTTCCCTCACGTCTTTGATGCATTCGCCCCGTGGGGCTCGGATTGCCTTGTCTGTGGAAGTCTGTGTTTGTACCGTCGCCCCCCAATTGAGCTCCAGGCTGTACTTCTTGCCTTCTTCCACATGTGATGCCAGCACCTGTTGCAAATTTGAGCCATGCTGCGACACCCACAACGTATCATCTGCATACAAAACATCGCGCGTAATCATATAGTCTGACTCCAATAGTAGTTCACGAGTACCTGCACATCATGCAGCATTTCACTTTGGACGAGGGTGAAAAGGTAGGGCGAGAGCGGGCAGCCTTGAGCGATCCTTGCTCGTTGTTGTCGTTCAGAAGACCGGCCGGCATGATCCAAGATGGAGACATACCTTGCTGAGTAAATCGAAGGTGCCAATTCCATCATACCAATTGGACGACCAAAGCATTCAAGAGCTTCGCATATTCAGTCTGGCTTCAATATATCGAAAGCTTTTGCTCAATCTAGCAGAAGGTAAAATCAAGCCACCGTTTATGTGCAAATCCTCCTTGATCATCCAGCGTGTCAACATTAGTGCGTCGCCAGTGTCGCGGCGCTGTCGAAAGCCAAACTGTGAATCTCGTATTCGTGTTTCCGCCCCTCCCTGAACCAACCGATTATGTAGAGTTGACGCCAGAATCTTATACCCAACCGGCAGTAACCATGCCGGTCCGTATTTAGTTGGCAAGGCGGCGCCACTTTTCTTGAACAATAATGCCACATTAGCTCTCTTCCTAGATTCCAGGATGGACTTTTGCGTTCAGGACTGGTGGCATAAGGTGAAAGTTATGTTGTTGGCCGCTTCGTCGGAAGCCAAAACCTTCTAACATTCTGGGGGAACGTCATCAGGTCCAGCTGCCTTGGCCTTCTTGAGCTTGTGGATCACGTTCTGAAATTCATTCATCGTCAGCGCCCCCATGTCGATAGGAAGTTCGTCGCAACGAAGCGAATGATTGCTTGGCCAGTGATTTGGAAACCTATACTCCCAGTGTGTATATTCAAAACAATATGCCATGAGATGAGGTCTGGTCTTTCCGCTGTGTCTGACGTTGTGCCATCTGGGCGTTGTATGCTTGCTTGCTGCACTCTCCGGCTTGCGCAAATATCTCACAGCATCCCACCCACCACTCGCCGCAAGATTGTTCAACCATGATTCGCGGTCCTGCTTCCCAGACTTCGGCATTTCCCTGTGTAGTCGCCGGTCGATATCGTGGTCCCCATGCTGTCGGTAACCGGAGGGCCGCTGTATCAAATCTTGAGTTCGCTGGTTGGTCCACCGACATCGGCCTTTGATGTCTCTAGTTGGCAGAGTGGCAGCAGCACGGGAGAAAGCTGTCTGCCGAATAGCGTTTGCAGTGTTCAAATGATCCGAACAACCATGTTGCTCCAACGTGACTTGAGTAAACTCTCCGATGAGTTTGTCGCGGACCCGCTCGTCGTCCAGTCTGACGATGCTGCGGCTGCGTATCGAAGTCGACGTTGATCGTGGCAACGGTGAGGAAATTGCGAGTGTTCAAAGAAGCCTCGCGAGCTGTCCAACAGTCTTGGATCGTCGTCCACACGCTTTGGTGGCATAACACATGGTCGATTTGTGAAAACCGCGCTGTCGAGATAATCGGGTCCAGATGGATTCCGACGTTGCGGCACGTAATGTTCATGCTGTCTGGGTGGTCGAAGTAAGTATTTGCCACAACCAAGTCATACGAATTTCTCTCCACGAACAATTGTCTATTTGAGATTGCCTCTCCCTGATGTCTGGCAGGGTCTTCAACAAGATCTTGAGGCGGGGTATCCAAACATGTGGCCCGACAGTGTTGTCCTCCCCCTGTCCCACTCGTAGTAGTCTGCGAGTTGAAATTCCCTAGTACATAAGTGACATTGTGCATCGTAGTCGCGCGAGTTGTCGACTGCAATTTCGTGTAGAACTCTTGCCGGAATTCGCATCAGAGCCCCGAGGGCGGCGCGTACGCGTTGACGAAAGTGAGCACCCCACTACAGAGCTTGTAGCGTAGCCAACGGGTCGTCGCAGGCTCTGAAAGCAATAACAGAAGTCACCACTGAAGGTCCCGCCAGAAAACCAGCTCCAGCGAAAGTGTGATTGCTCGAATGCAGACTGCGGGAGAAGAACACTTTGTAGCCGCGATTGTTGTAACAGTCGGCCCCGTGTAGTTACGTCTCTTGAATGTACAAAATGGCAATGTTGTTGCAGTTGCAACCGATGGCGTACACAAGCTCCTCCAGCTTGACGATAGAATCGCTGCGCAAACCGTCGACGTTCCACGTCGCCACGCGTCGGATGCGATCTGGCGCGCACTATCGCCGACGTCGGTGCCATGTTAAGGAGGGTGAAGATCGAGAAGGAGAAGGAGACGAACCATCTTCTGGATGTCCTGTTCCTGCCTGGCATGGTGAAGAAATCGAGGGTGCCGAATGGGACGCCGCAGCAATCGAACGTGTAGCATTACGTCGAATCTCCATTGGTATTCGGTTCGCAATGGCATCTTTGCCCATACTGGACGAACAGCCGAGCATTTGTGCAAAGCCAGGACCGTAATCATCATTGGCAATTCTCATTGACGTCGATGACTGTATTGTCAGCCTGTGGTTGTCATGATTAAAAACTCAGCGTATCTACAGTACGGTCCAAATTTGTATGGTCGTCTTCTTCGGTGCGGACGCCGTCGTCAACGTGGATGTGTACACGTGCTGGCGGGACTCTTCGACAAGACATTGATGAAGAACATGATGAAGTAAAGATCGGCCTCGAAGGTGGCGCTGGTGGAACTGATGAGGAACAGGTAACTTTGCCATTTTCCAGGGAGGTCGAAACGCAGGTGGCGGAAAGAGCCGGAGAAACACATCGAAGATCAGCGTCCCGGGTTCCAGCGATGTCAAAATGTTGAGGTTGAATGCGGCTATCTCGCAGTAGCAGCAGGCCATGTGCCTTAGCATTCTTCTCGATGACAGTTCTTGAACAGGCCTCGGCGTCCTGTTTCGACGTTGTTCTTTTGGATGTTCTTTTTGCCCCGCCTCTGGTCCCTTGAGTTGCTCGATGGAGATCATCCCATCACACTTATCTGTCGATTCTGCCAGCTTCGGATGCTTCTGCAAATCATCCCAAGCCGTCCAACTGTCTTCCCGCACCCTTTCAAATTGCCATGTTATGGATATTCAGAGTGAGAGCCAACGCCCCACCAACCACCAATTTGTAAGGTGATTATTATTATTCTTCTGAGATCTTGATCGTATATGGACTCTACAATTCGTTTTTGAGTATATACTTCGTCCCAAAGCAGTAATTTCGGGCAGCACGATCAGTTGGTTCTCTATCTTGAGTTGCCCCGACAAGATTACTCCCACGTCGGAGGCCCCCGCTGCGTAGAAGAGCGACCGCCGTTTTCTTGTCGAGCATGTTGCCAAACTCCGCAAACGCAATGCCCCTGAACTCCCCCGTTGCGTAGATATTTGTCGTGATTGAGCCTTGCATTGGAAATAGTTGCTCTCGGATGAACGTGCACACCGTGGCAACGGATTCGAATTTGGCGAGGTTGCCGATTACTGCAGTAACAGCACGTTTGCCCTGGTAGCGGTACGCTGTTTTGCAGTATCTTGCGAGATTGCTGAATCAGACCTCGGTGTTCTTGTTGACGGGAGTGCAAATTGTTTTCAAAAATTCTCGATGTTTTCATTCATCGCGTTCTCCATGTTCACTGCACGTATGTGTGTTTCCTCGAGTTCGTTTCTGATCTCGTCGATCTTGGTTTGCAGTGGTCGAGTGGCGTCTTCAAGATCCCGGCGGGATACCCCGTGAAGTTTGATTGTTGCGATATCTTGCTTGATGGGGCCGAGCTCGTCTTTGATCAGCCTCTGGATGTCCTCGAGGGTCGCAGCGATATTTCCCGAAGGAATTCCAGGGGTCCTGCCACCATTACTGGTGCTGCCCCCCGCGCTGGCGAATTGATTTCGGTAACGTCGTTGTGTAGTTTACTGGCGCTGTCGGAGCCGTCCAGCCCGGAGACACCCCCTTAAGAAGAACAAACACATCGGTGCAGTATTGGAGTGTAGGGAACAAAGAAGGATAGATAGGGTGTCCGGAGAGGGTGTGCGGATGAGGAGGCTTGGGCGAAGCTTGAGCCAAAATGGCTTGAGCGAAAGAGCGCACGCGTCGCGCCCCCCCAAAAACACCCAGGGGCCCCAGCAGAGGCTGCAGGCGGGCACAGACGCACAGAGGTCGCCTGGCATCGCTCGGACGTGTGCATTTTTTCTTCGGCGAGGACCATCGAGGAGCATCCGTGATCATTTGGTGAAAAAACCACGCACGAAACTGAAAAAAAACAGGGAATGGACGTCCGAGCGGCGGCAAGGGAGTCGGGTGCTGTCAGAAGTGCCAAGGTGCCCCCAGGATCCCGGAGGAGGCCCCCCAAGGCTCTCTGTAGAGCACCCCCATCACGAGGCCCAGAGGGCCTCGGGGGCTCCAAGATCGAGCAAGAGGTTGGGGGCACCGTGGGCCGGGGGCACCTCCCAGCACCCCCCCAAGATAGGGCGACGAGATCTATGCATATCCACTGCTCCTGGCCAGGCCCATCCTGGGCCCA